CTGCCCGCCGCCAGGCTGGCAAGGGCCGCGGGCACCGGGCTCCGGGCTCCTGAAGCCACCGATGGGAAGCTGCACTCAAAAGGGCGAGAGAAGACGCCGCGGCCACCGATAACGCCGCGGCCACCGATAACGCCGCGGCCACCATGGGGAACAAGCAGACCATCTTCACTGAAGAGCAGCTGGACAACTACCAGGTGAACCCCGCGCGCTGCGGCCCCTGTAGTCCTCCCCGCTGCCTTTTTCCGAGGCCTCGCGAAAGCAGAGTCACTGAGGTTCAAACCGTGCCGCTGCTTTCAGCGCGCAGCGTCACCTTGGGTGGATGGCTTCCCCTAGATGAGCCTCAGTTTCCCAGGCCGGGGAATAAGAGCATTCCAATTAGAGGATGCGCCTCACTCCCCTTCTTTCCCTCGTTAACCTTCTTTTCTGCCTTCTCAGGCTGCACCCCAGCGATTCCTCCCAGTCAGGTCTTAGAGTAGGTAAAGGACAAGAGGCTCCAAATGCAGTTACAGGTTGGGGTGTGTTGTTTATCTGTTGGGGTTTCTCTATGGCTGTAGCATGGAAACAACATAGCCGCATCTCTCAACTTACTTTGTGCTCCCAGTAGCCACTCTCACCCCAGATTCTTCCAGGTTCAGAGCTAGCAATTCATATCAGGGATCCCAAAGCCCCCAGCCATGTGAAAACTTTTCTTTGGGTATAGGAGGAAAGCTTATTCCCTGGCTGGCCCAGAGTCTTGCCCAGCTGCCTGGCTCACCACATCAGTGCCTGCGGTAGTCACCCCAGGTGTCTACATCTTAAATCCTGTACTCCATCCGCCTTAGTCAGTTTCCCCACTGGCCAGGTTCAGGCATTTTCCTGCTCATGAGATGCCTTTCTCATGTCTCTAAGTAGTCCCTTCCATCTTTCAAGGCCCCACGGTGAAGACTCTTCTCTGTCTCCTCTAAACAGATTGGGTAGGGCTGTTTCCTTGCGGGTATTCCTACATTGGATGTCTGTAATCGTCATGAATATTCAATTAGCAAGAAGACCTTACCTCCAGTGTGACCCAAGTGATAGAATATGTACTTAAGAGCCCTAGTGGACAGGGGAAGACAAATATGAAGGGAACTTTTGCTTTGACTGGAAGGTTCAGGAATAGTGCAGAGCTTGCACGGGGCCTTAGGAAATGAAATTTTTGCCCAGTAAGTTCTAGGAGGCATTCTAGGTGAAGGCAGGTGCGGGCAAGCAGCCCAAACCCAGAAGACAAGAGTGGCCTGGTGACAGTGGGGAGCCATTGGGTTAGTAGTCAGACCCAGTCCCAGTGTTGAGTTCTGATCCTTTGCCAGGGCCCAGTGAGACCCTGCCAGAGAAACCAGAGCCACGAAACACGAGAGCCCCACATCTGCTTCCCTCTGGCTCTCTAGCATAGCCGACAAGGGCTGGGTCCGGGCAGCGGAGTTACATTCCCTCTTCCAAGTAACCTATGTTTCCTGGAACTTCCCTTTCCCAGGCAGGATGCCCCACTCTCTGCTCTTCAGACACTACCAAGTCCCAGAGTTTAGGCTACTGCCCAGGCCCCTTATGTGTATGGCACACCCATCCTCCCCCAACACATGTGGAGCCCACTGCCCTCCCAGAACCCACTGCTCTCCTTCAGCCACTCCAGCTCTTTGCTGTCCTTCAGCCTGTGTTTTCAATTAAGAACAAGCCCTATGACTCAGCCTACTCTTTGCATCTCACTTTGAGACCCCCTCCTCCATCCCAAGAACTAGACCCTGGCCTGTCCTCCAAAGTCTCCTGGGGACAGAGATTTTTTTCTTTTTTTCTTTCTTTCTTTTTTTTTTTTTTGGTTTTTCGAGACAGGGTTTCTCTGTGTAGCTTTGGAGCCTGTCCTGGCACTCACTCTGGAGACCAGGCTTGCCTTGACCTCACAGATATCGGCCTGCCTCTGCCTCCCGAGTGCTGGGATTAAAGGCGTGCACCACCAGAGATCTTTACTGAAGCTGCCTCCCCTGCCTTGGGTCCTAGACTCCAGCCACAATCCTTGTAGTCTTTCTTTTATAACTCTTCTCTTTCTCTCTTTCCGTCATCCCCCACTTCCTTCTCCCTCCTTCCTTCATATTTCTTTCAAGAGACAGCATATGCCTCACTATGAAAATTATTGATAGAGTTGGATTGCTGTGTACTAGCCAGACCTCTATAGGAAACACTAAAAAGCCATCCGTTGGACCTGGATGAATGTGCAAGCATAAACACTATGCCCAGCTCTAGCAGGGAACTTTCTAAAGCGTAGGTACAGCTGCCTTCTCTCCAGGTAATTCTAGCGACTTTGGATGACTGAACAGAGTTGGAGCAGGGCTCAGCCTAGCCTGGTCTGGATTCAGTTGCTCTCCAACCTCATTTTTTACTTGAAGCCCCAGGCACTTTGCAGGGCTTCTAGTCAAGCTGGTGGTATTGTCTTAGCCCCTCACCAACAGTCTGCCTAGGCCTCACATCTTCAGGAAAGATTCTGATCTCACCCTGGTCCATTCACCTGGGACTCATGACACAGATGTCTCTCCAGTCCTTCATCTGGTCACTAAATGATTCCTCCTGGGTAATGTTGTTGTCTACACTCCTCTCTTCCCTGAACCCTTGTCTAGGCATAGATGAGGCATGAGGAAGGAAGGAACAAATGAAGGAAAGAATAAACAAACACAAATATAACATACAGTTGTTTTTTTATTTTTCCGAGACAGGGTTTCTCTGTGGCTTTGGAGGCTGACCTGGAACTAGCTCTTGTAGACCAGGCTGGCTTCAAACTCACAGAGATCCTCCTGCCTCTGCCTCCCGAGTGCTGGGATTAAATGACATACAGTTCTAAGAGGGGCAAAGATCTATATGGGATTCTGAAGTCCTGGGTTCAAGTTGTAGTTGTGCAGTTGCCACTGTGGGAGTTAACAGGTTAGTATTCGCTTCTGGGCCTAGGTTCCCACTTCTATGGTGGGAATCCTTACTAATCCAGCCATGCTGATGTCATAGGGTGTCATGCGGATCAGCTAAGGCCATTCTGGAGCCTGACCTCCAGCTGCATGGTGATTAGTGGGTCCAATCCTAGGCTGGGTTGGCAGAGCCAGAGAGGAGCCACCTCTCCTTCAGATGGGACAGATAGTGGGCTTGGCTCTTTACCACTGCCATAGGCAGGCCGGGTAGATAGGAAGCAGATGCCAGACAGAGCTCTTGATAGAGAGGGAGAGGAAGGGGTTGGAAGAGTTGGAGAGGATGGGGAATAGGTGGCACATACCTGTGGAAGAATTGAGTCTTGATGGAAATGACCTCCAGGCTTCTACTAGTAACTAGAAGATCCCAGCCTGGCATGTTTGATGCTTCCAGAATCCTAAGACTCCTGTTATCCCAGTCTAGGCCCCTGGGACACAGTTTTCACATTTGTAAAATAGGGAGATAATGACTGTTCCAGGGTGGTGCTGAAGATGACATGAATTTGACAATTTAGAGTCCCTTGTGCGAGGTACCTGGCAACTGTGTACTGGCTGTGAGGTGGTTCTCAGCCTGGACTACACTTTAGAATCACTGAGTGACTGGGGATGAAGAGCCGGGGCGGGGGTTGGGGGTGGGGGTGCGATTGAACCTAAGGCTTTCTGTATGCTAGGCACTCTATCATTGCCCTATACCCCACCCCTAGTCTTCTCTTCATTTTTAACACATTTAGACAGTACCTCACTAAGTTGTCCCATGCTGTCACATGTCACAACTTGAACTTGTGATCCTCCTTCCCTAGCCTTCTAGTCAGGATTACAGGACTGTTTGGAAGGACTGAGTGGCTTTGAAGGTCACTGATGCCTGGGAGGACCCAGGGATTTCTCATTTCCCATTTCATTGGTGTGAGGGGTGTCGAGGTCCAGGTATTTTAAACTGCTCCCAGGCAGCACTGTTGTGGTGGTAGAGTTCTCTTTTTGGTAGGATCAGCACCACAGGAGAGTTTTTAAAGTACACGTTACCACCCACTTTTTTGTTGTTGTTTTGGTTCATTTTGTTTTATCACTCACATTCTCAGGAGGTTGCTGCTATGGCTTGGGCACTGTTCCTTGAAGATCAGTGCCAGGAAAGTGAATCTAGTTGTGCTAAGGTGATCAGGATATGTGGGAAACCATTTGCCCGCAGTAGGGGTCTTGTATATTTTCTTTCTAACTTGGGGTATATGTAGGAGGAGCAGAGACTGGGGCCAGGACTCCCTCTCCCTAATTTTTCCAGTTCTGTGACACCCCTTACAGGTTAGTTAGCAGAGCTCTGGTCCTTTCAGATGGCAGAGCTAACCCTCTAGATAGGGAATCTGTACCTGAAGGCTCAGTGAGGCTGTCTGTGCTGCCTGCTCTTGGTCTCATAGAACAGCTGAGGGACCAGCCCATGAGCCCTCAGCCTGCCTGAGTTAACCCTGCTAGACAGGGAGTTTTCTGTCTGCACTGGGTGGGGATGGGGCTGCTGCTTCCCAGCCTGAGCCTTTCTTGAATCCTACTGAGGGGCCATTGCCAAAAGCAAAGTTGAGCCCTCCAAGGGAAGTCCCCGAGTTTCCAAGATGGGCACAGCAGCATGGAGTCCTTCATCTGTCTCCTAGACAGTAGGTGACATAGTAAGCCTGGGCTTCATGGGAAATTCCACCCACCTTCCCTTTTGCCTATACAGAGGCAGCAAGGAAAAACCCAGCTGTCGTACACATAGTGTGAGCATCCTCTCTGGCCCACCTCAGTGTACAATCCAGCCGGCCTGGTGTCTAGCAGCTCCAGGTCTTCCAGAGCCAGCCTGGCTGTCAGTACGCCTGGGCTGTGTCCATTCGCCCCCTCATCAGTACAGCTCTGCTTAGCATAAGGCCCCAGGAGGCCCTGTGGGCTCTGGGCTCTGCTGAGCCTGAGGCCTTCTTCTTTCATGCTACAACAGTGGGCAAAGGCAGAGGAGCCAAACAGCAGGAGATAAATGAAAAAGCCCTGCGTTGGTGGGCATTTTAAGGCCTGTTGGGTCATTTTCATTTCCTCTCACCTAGGCCTGGCATGGTAACCATCATGTAAGACTCTCATCCAGACAGAAAGGTCCTTAAAGAGTCCAGATGCTACCATCCCATCCTTCTCTTCTGGGGTCTACCCCTCACACCTCGGGGCCTCCACCTCTCTAATGCCTCCTTAGTGTGATATCCCTTGTTCCTTCAGCCCAAGGCTGCAGATCGTATACCCGGAACTATAAGTCACCAAACTCAGGACTGCTGTTCATGGCCACCCGGGACATCCACTTTATACTGCCTCCCCACATGAGGCCCTGTTCTCAGTGCCAATGGTGGTGTGCCAAGGCATCCTGTTGATCCACTCTTGAGAGGTCTCTAGAACCCTCTCTTTGCTACCTCCCTGGTCACCCACAGTGTAATCCTCTGACTGTCAAATCTACTGTGGCCACCCGTGACTCTACGTTCCTCTTTGCCAAGTACCCCCAAATGTGCCACCCAGCCCTACCCCACCTATGGATTGCTATCCTGGGCCCAGTTGGTGGTGGCACAGGGGTGGATCAAGAGCTTCTGAGGCATCTTCTGGACCTACTAGAATTGGCTGTCACCCCTGGGGAGGACTGGGAAGGCCTAGGAGACACACTCTTCTGCCTTGGGTCCAGGGCTGTTGGATGGGGTTCACCATGTATGTTTTCTCTCCACAGGACTGCACGTTTTTCAATAAGAAGGACATCCTCAAGTAAGTGTGGCCTCTCCTCTACATCTCTGGGTGGGGGTGGGGCTTTGGGCTGTGGTAGGGGTGGGGCTAGGGACCCCATGGAGCCTGGCTGGGCTGGAGCTGAGGAAGACTGTGGGACCCAAGTTCAGGTGGGCCTCAGGCACGCAGTATAGGTTGAAAAAGGTGTCACTGCTTCTGGGCACTTGTCCTCTTTGGAGAATGGGCCACCTACTACTTTCTGACTCAGAGATAGATAAAGGGTTTGAGGCACAGTCTCATTCAGTCCTCACTGGGACTTTGTAACAAGAGAATCCTGCTAACCCCCTTTACCATGGGAGTTTGAAACTTGTCCCAAGTCACAAAGCCAGGGTCTAGAGATGTGGCCTTCTAATTCCAGGACCCAGGCTATTTTTTTTTTCCCCCTTTTGGGGCCTGCTTCTGTAGGGACACCTGTCTTTTAAGCTGGGGGCTCTATTACTCCTTTGGCCTCAATGTCTCTCCTGGGATGTCCAGAAGCCAAAGACATGCCCGTTACCCCTGAGCTGTTTACCAGGGGTCTCCAGGACAGCCCCCATCCTTGTGGGTTAAGGAGGGGCCCTGAACAGGAGAGACAGCAGTGTTGGCAGTCTCAGCCCAGTGAACAGGCATTACAGGATGCTAGGAAACCTGCAGCCCTTGCTGGCCCCATCTACCTAGGCTATCCAATGTCACTAAAAGCCAGCAAAGTCTCAGGATCAGTTTCCCTGGAGATCGATGCTCAGGCTGGGGCTATAGCCTGGTGCAGCCTCCCCAGAGAGCTGTGTTGTCGCTTGTCACTACCCTGACCACTCTGTATGACAGTGTTCCTCTCTTAGCCTGCCATTCTGTCTTGTTACTTGAGTAGGCAGAGGATACACTATTTTCACTTCTTGAGGGGCGGGTCAGAGCCCCCCAGACTTGGTCTCAGCCCTAGGCTGCCCTCGTACATCCACAGCACTAGAGTTCTATGGCCTCAGAGAGGTTTGGCCCTCTGGAACCTCACTTTCTGGGGGTGCTGGTACCACTCTAAGGGGCAGTAATCAAAGGTGTGCCATCTGACCACTGGGACTAACCTGACCTGAGTAATGTGTCCTTCGTGAGGGTTTCTGGGCTGACTCTGGCCTTCCAGAGTTGATGTCCCTACCTGTGTCTGGCACCTGGGCATAGTGCCTGTTAGCCATCAGTGAGTATATAAGGAGTGGTCAGGGAAGGAGGAGTGGCCACAGGAGGATGGTCCAGGCTGGCAAAATGCAGAGACCAAGACACAGGCCTACTCTGCTTCTCACCCCTTCCAGGTACTAATCCTATTAAGATTAACAAGGTGTTGGGGAAGAATATCAAAAGAGCTGGTCTGACAGGCACATGGGGTTGTCTCTGACTCATTGGCAAATGAAGGGCTCTTGGGCAAAGTTTCCTGACTTCCCACAACCCTGGCTTTTTTTTTTTTTTTTTTTTTTCTCCACACTAAAGAAAACAGCAAATGTCAGGTGCCCTCATGGGCGAAGGAACCTCCCAGGCAGCTGGACACCCTGCTTGAGCGGTTGCCTGTCTTGTTTCGGAGTGTCACCTCCATGTCACTAACCCCCACAGCCCTACCAAGCCAGCCTCTCTCCACTGCTCGCATCCCAGTGAGATCTAGAGAGAGCAAAGACCACCCAGCCCTGTACAGCAGTTCAGTGGCAGAGCCAGGCCACCCAGACCCTGCCTCCACTGGCCTGCCTGCCTTCCCTGTGCTTTGATTCAGCCTCCTCTTCTCCATCCTTTGGCTGCCTGACTCCTTGGTAAGCTGAACCCTGAGTACTGACCAGATGGCAGGGAGGAAACTTGAGCGGGAGGCTCTTCTGTCAGTGGTTTAGATCACAGATAACCATGATCCCCGGCTCAGCTGCTCCCCCTACCAACAACCCCAGTAGATCGCATTACTCTCTGGCCACAGCTCTTCCATCCCAGCACCAACGTGAGTGGGCAGCTCACCCCACCAATCCTCACACACCTTTCAGCCTCCATGCTTCCTGTGGGTCAGAGCTTAGACTTCCCTTGTCCTCAGTTTCACTGTGTTCCTGAACAAGTTGACACAGAAGCCCCTGTGCCCCCAGTCAAATACAAGCCTGCCAGTTGACACCCCAAGGGGTCTGCCAAGGGGGATTGCTTTATTGCTTATTTTCTTAACCTTTTAAACATTTATGTAATCTATTTTAATTACTTCTTATTTTTTTCTATTATACATGAGGATTCTGAAACTTAACAGCCTGCAGGGGCCAACCTGCACCCTGAGTAAAGAAAGTGGGCCGGTCCCCGGATCATTTCTGAAGAAATAGCTGCTCCCAGCCCCAGCAGGATCGGCAAACAGATGTACAGTGTACACATCTTTCAATTTGTAAATGTTGGCAAATAAATTTGAAAATTCAATTTAATTCTTTCTTTTCTAAAAATTTAATGTATTTAAAACCCCACGCGGGAGCCAGGCATTCACGTGGGCTATCAATTTCTGACTTTTCAGAAGAATCTATCTTTCCCCCCCCATGACTTCCAATGCTGTGTATCAATGGTTACGTCTCATTAATATTTGGGCTCGACCCTCCTCTGAGTCTGACACCAATGTCTGTTTCTTTTTAGGGGGCAGGGCAGGAGGCAGGAAGTCAAGACAGTCTTGCTATGTAGGGTTGGCTGGTTTTGAGCTTTTGTAGATGCCATTGTTTCATTCTGAGTGCTTCCTTTTGGATTCTAGAATGAGGGGTTTACTTTGCCTCTCCTCTCCTTCTCCTGATCTGTCCCTCTTCTCTCTTTCTATGTCTTTTTATGATTATGATCATTTTGGTTTTGAGTGTTTAGAGTTTGTTTTCATTGTTTTTGGTTGGTTAGTTAGATTTTTGTTTTTGAGACAGGGTCACCCTGTATAACTCAGTCTGGCCTCGAACTTGGAATTCTCCCCCTGCTTTAGCCTCTTTAGTAGGAAGGGCTCTGTTAACTTCTAAAATCACCCAGATGGCTTTCACATTTGGTTTCACCAAGCCAGAGTAGCAAAATTGTCATTCCTAGTCCTGGCTGTTAGATGGGGGCCCTTTATTGGGGGAAGGGGTGACAGAGATTTAAGTCTTTCTCTCTCTTTCCTTCCTTTTCTCTTCCTTCCTTCCTCCATCCCTCCCTCCCTCTCTTCCTTTCTCCCTCCCTTCCTTCCTTCCTTTCTTTCTTTCTTCCTTCCTTCCTTCCTTCCTCCCCTCCCTTCCTCCCTTTTTTCCTTTCTTTTGATGATTTTCCTCCCAAGGTGATTTGGGTTTTCAAATTCAATGTGGAGTTCCTTAAAATTTTGCATCATTATTTTGGTTGTTTTACTTTTATTTCTATTTTTTTTTAAAGATTTATTTCATGTGCACCGAGTGTTTTGCCTACATGTATGTATGTGTACCACATGCCTGCCTCGTGCCTGCAGGCATCAGAAGAGGGTATTGGATCCCTGGAGCTGGAACCACGGGTGGTTATGAGCCTTAGTGTGAGTGCTGAGAACTGAACCCAGATCCTCTGCAAAAGCAACTGCCAAGCCATCTCTCCAGCCCCAATTTATTTTATTTTTTGATTATGTATATGTGTGTGTGTGTGTGAGAGAAAGAGAGTACATGTCATGTGTGTATGCCTGAGGAGGCCAGATGTGTCAGATCCCGGGAGATGAAGTCATAGCGCTCATATGAGCTCTGGGATGCTAACTCAGATCCTGTGAAAGAGCAATACATCCTCTTGGCCTCAGAGTCATCTCTCCAGCCCCTAGTTGTTGTTTTAGAACAAATCTGTATACCAGGGCAGAACCTGGCTTTTCATTTCAGGAAATGCATCTCCACCCTTCGGGAGTACCCATAGCCTGATCCCACGCTCACCTCTTCTGGGGAGTCTCTGGCAGGCAAACCAGAGAGTAGAAATAGCTACAGTTTGACTCTAAGTGGTTTATGTGTGTATGTGTACTTGAGTGTGCATGGGTGGACATGAGTTTTGTGTGTGTGTTTTCTTAGACAAAATTTCTCTGTGTAGCCCTGGCTATCCTGGAACTCACTCTGTAGACCAGGCTGGCCTCAAATTCAGATATCTGCTTGCCTCTGACTCCTGAGTGCTGGCATTAAAGGTATGTGCCACCACCACCCAGCTGCAACGGTGTGCATGTATGTGTGGGTGTGTCTGTGTGTGCATCTGTGTGTGCATGCAGTGGAGGCCAGAAATGACCTCAGATGTTATTCTTCAAACACATCTACCTTTGTTCTGAGACAGTTTCTCATTGGCCTGGAGCTGGCCAGTCCTCATCGATCTGCCTGTCTCCTACTCTCCTACTCTCCTAATCTCCTACTGGGATTAAAAGTGTATATGCCAGGAATGGAGACATGCCTCAGAGGTTAAGAGCACTTGCTGTTCTGATAGAAGACCCAGTTTCCAGTACCCTCATGGTGGCTCACAAATGTCCCCAAGTGTGTATGTGATGCACATATATAAATACAGGCAAAACACTCATGCATATGAGATAGAATAAACGACTCTTTAAAAACTTAAATAAATAAAATGTTAAGATTTTCTAAAACCAAAGCCCATTTTTTTTTCTTTTTTTGTTTTGGTCAACATGTCTGACCTTTTTTTTTTTTTAAGATTTATTTATTTATTTATTTATTTATTTTTTATGTATACAGTGTTCTGTCTGCATGTATCCCCGCAGGCCAGAAGAGGGCATCAGATCCCACTAGAGATGGTTGTGAGCCACCATGTGGTTGCTGGGGATTGAACTCAGGACCTCTGGAAGAGCAATCAGTGCTCTTAACCTCTGAGCTATCTCTCCAGTCCCAGACCCTTCCTCTCCTCTCCTCCCCTCGCCTCTCCTCTCCCCTCCCCTCCCCTCCCCCTTTCTTTGATAAAACATAAGTTCTGGGGATTAGACTCAGGTCCTTTACTGACTTGGTCCTTGTATGCTGTGGTCCTTGTATCAAGGATAGTCTCCTCGGCCTACCAGGAAGTTTTATGAACATTGTCCTATTTAATCCTCACAAGTGGGAAAAATGATAGACTGGTTCCCACTTCTGACTGAAAATCATTCTCTGTGGTTACTTCATTTACCCGAGGTTACCCCACTAGTGAGTGGTTTAGGTGCAGTTCCAACCTTAGCCCATCTTGAAGCTCCTGCTGCAGCAATCCCCACAACTTTGGGGGCATAAGCAAATTCCCAGAGGCACCCCACATCAGCTGCAGCACAGGCAGAGGGAGTAGACGTTAAGATCTAGTCCAAAATGTAATCATCAGAAACACGATGGGCCTGTTAAAGGTGAACAAATTAGCCAAGAATGGTGGCAATCTCATGCAGAGGCTGCAGGCTGCTGAAGCAGGAAGTTTGTAAGCCCTTGCTATATAGTGAGACCACGGCAACCCCTGCCTCCTCTAAAAAGCATATGAATTGCAAAATATAAATTTTGGTGCAAGGACTGTTATAAAAAGAAGGGCAATATTCCTAGATGCAGGAAATAGCAGAGAAAATCTGAGAGTCTGATTATGGAGAGTCACAACTTTGATCTGGCCACCCTGGTGTCTGCTGACCCCCCTCACCCAAATGACAGGATTTTAGGGTTTTTCCTCTTCTGCTCTGTCCCTTGTGACCTCAGGTCCTTTGATGGAGAATGAGCTTATGGCATTGTGTTTATTGTTTGCTTATCTGGGACATGCTTTGCTCTAGGAGATTCAGTGTTTTCCAGAGTGGCTTAATATGCAGCGCGTGTGTGTGTGTGTGTGTGTGTGTGTGTGTGTGTGTGTGTGTGGGTGTGTGGTGGTTGTGTGTGTTTGTGGGTGTATTTGTATGTGTTTGTGTTTGCGGGGTGGTGGTTGGGGGTGTGTTGTGCGTGCGTGTTTGGGTGTGTGTGTGTGGGGGTGTGTGTGTGTGTGTGTGTGTGTGTGTGTTGTTCATGTGTGTGTGTGTGTGTGTGTGTAGGTTCATGTGTGTGTGTGTGTGTGCGCGTGCGTGTGTGTGTTGTTCATGTGTGTGTGTGTTGTTCATGTGTGTGTGTGTGTGTGTGTGTGTGTGTGTGTGTGTGTGTGGAGGTTCATGTGTGTGTGTGTGTGTGTGTGTGTAGGTTCATGTGTGTGTGTGTGTGTGCGCGTGCGTGTGTGTGTTGTTCATGTGTGTGTGTGTGTGTGTGTGTGTGTGTGTGTGTGTGTGTGGAGGTTCATGTGTGTGTGTGCTGGAAATAAGGAGGACCTTGGCACAGCTCTGTCACCATCACCGGGATTTGGGCAGGACCTGCTTCCTCTCCAAGCTATGGCCACTGTGGGCAGAGCAGACAGCTTCCTATTGGCGCCTCACTTGGTCCTGGATGAGAACAGTTTTTCAACCTAGCAGGGTGGCACTGGGTCCGCCGGGCCCAGGGATGGCAGGACCTAGCTTTTCCTCTGTTTCTCTCGAAGGCTCCATGCGCGCTTCTATGAGCTGGCCCCCAACCTCGTCCCCATGGACTACAGGAAGAGCCCCATCGTCCATGTGCCCATGAGCCTCATCATACAGATGCCAGAGCTCCGGGTATGTCAGCGGCCAGCGGCTGCTGCGGGGGGGTCGGAGCATGGGGAATCCACACCGGGACAGGGAGTAGGGGCCCAGATCCAGACTGAAGCCTAGCTATACCCATTGTGAATGTGTTGCCCTAAGTGGACTTCTGAAACTCTCTGTGCCTCAGTTTCCCAATGTACACTTTGCATAAATGAATTATGGAAACGTGTGGGGCTTGGTAAGTGTACTGTGGATTTGTGGCTGCCTATTGCCCAGACATTTGCCCACACCAGTCTGTATGTCCCTATGTTGGGATAGCCTGGGCTGTACTTGGCAGTCCTTGGTCTGCTCTTTAAGATTATTTTTCTCTCTTTGTATCTGGTCATGGATTCTTTTGGGGGGGGATTTGAGACAGGGTTTCTCTGTGTAGCTTTGGAGCCTATCCTGACACGAGCTCTGTAGACCAGGCTGGCCTCGAACTCACAGAGATCTGCCTGCCTCTGTCTCCCGAGTGCTGGGATTAAAGGCGTGTGCCACCAACACCTGGATGGTCATGGATTCTTGATCATCTCTAGTGGCACAACCCAGATTCGGACATTTTAGAATGTTCCTTTGGGTTTGGGCCATGTGGGGTAGGCTCAGCCAGCTCCCAGGGAGGCTATGGGTCTTCAGGCCACCTATACATCGACAGTTTCTCAATTTCTTCATGTGGGATATAGAAAGGACACTCCCACAGCATTGGGCATAATTCCACAGGGCTGTGGGAGTTGGCGTGGCCTCCCCTTCAGCCTGCATCCCAACTCTGTCCTGAGAGATGACAGGCACAGGCTTGGCCCTGGAAAACACTGCCTGTCCTTGAGGGGATGGGAGACCAGGATGAGTGTCATGGAGACTGTAGGAACTTTGTTTCAAGGCCTCTCAGACTGATCTGGGCTGAGCAGCTGTGATGGAAGGAACCTGGGCCCTGGATGACTTGGCATCTCTGGAAGGAATAGAGACAGTGTTGGAAATGAGAACAAATGGGCTGTGTGACTACAGGCATCAGGGCTACCTCTTTCTGCTTTTGTTGGTCCAATTATCTGACATGTTGGGGCCTTACTTCCATCCCTCACCTGTCTGGCCTTGAATTTGCCCGAACCAATGACTTCCTAGAGAGGTTGTCTTGTTTTTCTGGGGACACAGCCCAGTTTGTGGAGGAAGGAGCCTGTGTATGTGTCTCTGAAAAATGGGACAGTTGGCATGCAGGCTCTGCTGAGTTTGCTGTGTTCCTGTATGGACCCTGTGTAGCATGGGAGCATGTGCCGAGTCAGGTCCTGCATCAGTGCCCCACACACTCTAACTCTGCAACTCCTCCAATAACCCGTTAAGTAGCTGTGGTTATTGCCTTGTTCTGGAGGCTACCACTCAGGTTGTCACAGGCTCCCCTCAGACTGGGCCAAGGCTCCTGCCTCACCTACCTCAGTGACGGCTGTGCTTATCTTCAGGAGAATCCCTTCAAGGAGAGGATTGTGGAGGCTTTCTCTGAGGATGGCGAGGGGAACCTCACCTTCAATGACTTTGTGGACATGTTCTCTGTGCTCTGTGAGTCGGCACCCCGAGAGCTCAAGGCAAATTATGCCTTCAAGATCTATGGTAAGGAGGGGCTGGCAGCAGGGCGGAGCTGTGGTGCTGAAGGAGTGAGTATGAGCCATTGGAGCATCCAGTTATTGCTGGGCATACTAAGACTGCCCTTTGAAGAACATCTGCCTCAAGGGCACAAGTCATGCCTGAAATCTATATAAAGAGAAAAGGAAAGACTCCCACCCTGGGTGGGCATTAGGGTGAGGAATAGTGACTAGAGGACCAGGGGAGATTGGTCCCCTGGAGACAAGAGGACAGATACCCCACCAGAGTGGGCAGTAAGTCTTGACAAGATGAAGATGGTTTGGGATGTGGTGGTGGTGGGGGGGATCAGTGGGAGGACAGAGAATTAAACTAGGCAGAGAAGGGTGGTTATGCTCTAGAAAGATCACTGGGAAAGTTTTAATTGTGGACTTAAAAAAAAATAGGCTAAATCTGGGGCCCAAACAGGAGAGTTTCTGGGGTATCATGGTGAGCCAGGCGAGGAGGGAAATCTGCGTCCCCTCATTTCCCCAATCTGCAGACATACTGGCCACTAGAGGGCACTGGTCTCACAGAATTCTCCCTTAGCTAAATAAAGGCTGCCACACAGCTCACTCACTGTACCTGGGTCAAATCCTTACCAAGTCAGATCACAGAGGCCCAAGGAGCGATTTGAACTTTTACTGGACCAGAAGAAAAGACCCCAAACCTTCCTGCACCTTTGAGAAACTGGTGGATCTCAAAGTAGTGAGCCCATCAAGGGCTGCCTATTATTTTTGTGATTACTTCAAATGACTTTGTTTTAGACACATGGTACAGCACATCGTGCTTGCATATAAGAAAGCAGACCCTTCCAGTCCATCCTCATATATGTAGCTTCTAAAATTTCACCCATTACTCCTCAGTCTTGGACCCCACAGTGCTGCCCCTGGGAAAGGCTGTTGTCTTCCTACAAGAAGAAAGTACAGATCACATGGGGTGGGGGGGGCTCAGGTTCTTACTGTTGAATTAGCTTAGGATTCTATCCAGCCCATTCGACAGATAGCAGGCTTTCTCAAGGACCCTTCCGTAGGCCCTTCACGAGAAGAGATAAACCCCACTCCACGCCCACTGTGGAGGCCTCCATAGGCAGGGGCAGAGGTGGGCAGCTCAGGCTACACTGAAGGGCTTCCTTCTGCTCTAAGTCTGACTCTGGCCAGGTTGTGACCTCAGGGAAGTCCTTGTCCTCTCCAGCTCTGTTTCTTCACCTGCAGAGTTCAGGCATGGTTTAGGTAAATGAGGAATCTTCATCTTCATCACTGCCATTCATGCGAGCCTAGTGGGCAGCAGGCATTCAGTGGGAAGGATGTCTAGACAGTGATGCTTGATCAGAGATGTGTGACACCAAGTGCGACCAAGCTGGCAGCTGTGCTGAGGGGTACAAAGGATGACTGAGCCTGCACATGGCTTGGGCCCACAAAACCACTGTGTTGTGCTCTGGGAAAGTGCTAGTGCCTTTGGCCCAGGAGACCCAGCACTGCCCTTTACTCTGTGCACAAAGGCTGTCTCTGCTCTGGCGTCTCTCTAGGGCACTAGTTCTCAACCTTCCCACTGCTGTGACCCTTTTTATAAAGTTCCTCATATTGTGGTGACCCCCAACCATAAAATGATTTCATTGCTACTTCATAGCTGTGATTTTGCTACTGCTATGAATCATGATATAAATATCTGACAGCAGGATATCTGATATGTGACCTCCAAAGGGTCATGGCCCACAGGTTGAGAATTGCTGATCTAGGGGACTCCTGCATCTCCTGACTTGACTTCTGTTTTTGTTTTTATTTTATTATTATTATTATTATTATTATTATTTTGGCTTTTTTGAGACCGGGTTTCTCTGTGTAGCTTTGGAGCCTATCCTGGCATCACTCTGGAGACCAGGTTGGCCTCAAACTCACAGAGATCTGCCTGCCTCTGCCTCCCGAGTGCTGGGATTAAAGGCATGGGCCACCAATGCCCGGCTTGTTTTTGTTTTTAATTGACAGATTAAGTTGTACACGTTTACTACATACAACATGAGATATGTGGGAATTAGTCACGTGTGTCTGGAGGCCTACCAGAGGTGATGAGGTGCCATTTAGAAAGTGTAGGTCCTACAGTCAAATGGACCCAGTCAGAGTCCTTGCTCCATCCTGACTGGATCTCTGACTTGGACTCCGGTATTTGGCCTCTCTGGGTTCTGACTTCCCTGGCTCTAGGAGTCCACCATGGGGTGAGGCCAGGAAGGCTATTTGGCTTCAGTGGGAAGTTTTCAGTGTGCTTCAGATTTGGAAGTGTTTGGGCTGTGGCTGTGTGCAGTGTCATTGTGGGAGTTTGTGGGTTCCCCAAATGTTAATTGTTGACTGTGGATGCTTAACATAGGCCTTGTGTGTGAGCCTGTTGGTTTCAAGGAACCCCACTATTGTCTGAGTTCATAGAGATACTCTGGGGCTCCAGAGGCTGGGGAGAAATCAGTGTGGTCACCCGGGAGGAAGGGGAAACACTGGCCAGGACACCTTTGTCCTGGAAGCCCCTGGAGAGACTCAGCCCTGTCTTGACCTTCTCTATTCACCCTCGTAACCGCACAGACTTCAACACTGACAATTTCATCTGTAAAGAAGATTTAGAGCTGACCCTGGCGCGACTCACTAAGTCAGAGCTGGATGAGGATGAGGTCGTGCTTGTCTGCGACAAAGTCATTGAGGAAGCTGACTTGGATGGTGATGGCAAGCTGGGCTTCGCTGATTTTGAGGACATGATTGCCAAGGCCCCTGATTTTCTCAGGTGCTGTTACCCCAGGGCCTGGGCTTGGGTTGGATAGGTCAGAGCATTAGGGTCACAGCTGGCTACCTGGTCTCATGGGGCCTCCATGGGCAATGATATATGCAGACCTGAAGTAGCAGGTTGAAGCCCCGCTCCCCAGGTACATGACTACTCAATCCTGAGAGGGATCAAGAGCTTTCATGGTGCATGGGGAGGATCGAGACTCTGCAGGCTGGACACTGGACATCTGCCCCTTCTGAGCCTCCTGTAATTACCTCTATGCAGCTTCCCTTAAGGGAACAACCAGGGTTAGGTTAGCTTTCTCCTGTGGAGCCTTCTGCCCAGCCCACAGCCTCTCACCCTCTCTACTCTTTCTCTTTCCAGCACCTTCCACATCCGAATCTGAGGACACTGCCAAGGCTGCAGGGGCCTAGAAGTCTGCCCTCTGGCCTGCTGTCTGTGAAGGTGTGGCTTCTGGGGGCCTAGAAGTCTACCCTCTGGCCTGCTGTCTGTGCAGGTGTGGTTTCCAGGCACTTCAGGAAAGGGGCTGTAGCCTCTGGGGTTCTCCTCACCCATGGACATTTCCTGTGGCCCTTTCAGCAAAAAACAAATAAAAAAAAAAACTTAACATCGATGAGGTTGTAAAGAGCAAGACCCTTCCCAGGGTCCCCAGTGGTTCACCCACCAAATCAACAGTCCCCCTGAGGGTCCTCTCAACCACCCCTTCTCCTGCCCTGTCCTTTTCTCACCTAGCAGTGTCCTCCTAGGAGGGGAAGATGGGAAACCTAGCAGGAGAGGTGGGGCTGGATTATCCATATACTGGGAAGACACCCAGGGCTAATTGCAAAAAAAAAAAAAAAAAAAAAAAAAAAAAACAGAGACTGGGGTTTTAACAAGCTATGCAATCTTTTACTAAAATCAAGGCTGGGCTGTTACCCTCCCCCCCCCCAAAACTCCCCCATCCTCTACTTTCCCAATGTGAAGCTGTATAAGCAGTAGGTCCAAAGGGCTCTGCCCCTGTGTCTTGAACACTACCACACCTACCCTCCCCAATGGCATGGTGTCACTGGTGTGTGCTGACCTCAGATTTGTGAACTCCTAGGAATAAAACACTTTTGTGTCCTGCACTTTCGGTGTCTGTCACGTTAGGAATTAGCCTTAGGAATGCTCAGTGGTACCTTCCAGGCAGTCTGGGAAGTCTTAGCCTGGGGGAAGCACTGCACTCCAGGTCTGGTGCTAATGGGTTTCAGGTGAGATTGTTTCCATTTCTCTAGTAGCAGTTACATCTGCCTAACAAGTGCTCACCACTGTTTGCTCCAGGCTGTCCCACTACTCTTAAACCTTTCATCACAATGTCTACCAAGAAATAGCTTTCCTCACAAATGTGCCCTGAGCCAGTTCTGCCCAGAGCCTGGGTGGAGGTGTGTGGAGGTGGGCACTGCGGTCTTGGTTTCTTGCCTCCAGTGAATAGAGGCAGGGTAGAGAGAGAGAAGAAAGCAGGTTAGTTGCTCTCCCTGTGCTAGTGGGGACACATGGACAAGGGGAGTGGTACAAAACAGGAGAAGATCCCTGGGAGAGCTAGCTTGGCCAAGGGAACAGTTGGAGCAAGAGGCCTAAGTGCCCCGTTCCAAAGCTGGTGACCTGGCAAAGCCCTAGGACCTCTCTGCAGGGAACCACCAGGCTGATGGGTTTCATGGAGGAATCTGTGTTGATCCACAGGTCAGGACTGGCTGGAGGCAGAGGGCAGGAAGGGGTGACCTGCTCACGTAGGCTGGCTTCAGATGATGCCCAGAAGTGCATCCCAAGCTTAAGCCTGCCTCAACAAGGGCTGTCTGTTCAGGCCCTCACCGATTATGTCCTCAAATGAGTTGTGGGTCTCAGTTTCTTCATATGTAGTGCAAGCTAGGAGCATGCATAGTGAGGCTAGGTTACAGATGGAGAAGCTGAACAGGAAGACTGGGGGAGTTCCTGGGAGCTGGGAGTTCCTGGCAGTTCCCAGAAAGACTGGGGTTAGTTTCCAGCCTGCTGCCGGAGTCAGCCAGGGCTGGACCTTGGCTGGACTCAGCCTCTTGCTCTAATTCTCCTGGGGCAGGTACAGAGGATGTGGCTCCTGGCCTTCTCCTATCACCCAGCAAGACCACCATGAGGAAGGGAACTGCTTTGTTCTCAGAAGATGTCATTTAGCCAGTTGGAAGAATGTCTTAGCAGGGGGCCTGCCACATGCTTGTTAAGCATCTGAGGTATGAGGCAGCTCCACATGTTCATCAGCCCAGGCCTCTACATGTTCATTCACCCAGCCCTGCCTTTAGTTAGTCCTTACTCTTGCTGGCCTTATTTCCTTCATTGTGTGGATGGACAGCATTGAGGACATATCCAGGAGTTGCACGCTTTGCCAAAGTCTCTCCTGTGCCTTCCCAGGTGGTACCCAGGCTGCATCCTAGAACCTGGTTCCACAGTCGCTGGTTGTGTCACATCTTCAGGTGAGCTGAGGGTATCCAGTAATCCCAGGTGTGGCCTGGGTACCAGGACTCCCTCTGGATACCAGGCCTCCCTCAGAATTTGTGCCTCTTGTCTGTGAAGAAGAACCTCCGGAACTTGTCAGGCTGGAAGGAAGGGAGAGGTGTTGGGGCCTGGACTCCCCAGCAGAGAAGGAAAGACCCAGGGTCAGAAGCTCTTAGCTTGGGTCTGGGGTGAGGGCCCAAGCTAGAGAAATGACGCCAAAATGCAATGCTGGTATGGCTCCCACAAGCCTCTCCAGGGCCCCAACGCCCACTTTCAGCCTTCAAATTTAAGATGAGGATTTGCTTTTGGCTAAGAAGTGTGATGGGAAGAGAGGAAGGTAAAAAAGAGGTGGAAAATTCTGAAGAGCATTGTCTTCCCTCCTGAGTATGTCCTGGAGATTCTGCCCCCTCCTACCCAGCTGGGGCCTTGCTGTGCCCTGGTGGGACAGGATGGAGGAGGATGGGGTCATATACAGGACTCCCAGGGTTAGAGGAGGACATGGGGACATTTAGGGGAAGAGCAGACATGGCTTCGGAGGTCCTTAAAGGACTGTCCACTGCCTAGGCCTCAGAGGACCAACACCTCAGAGAATGATGGGGATAAGAGCTGGAGCAGGAGGACACAGCCCTGCGCTGAGGGAGGAGCTGGTTCCCCTGCAGGCCTTTGCTCTAAAGCTCAGGATGTCCCTGTTCAGGCCAGCCTCAGCTTCCCAGACTTGAGGCTGTGTCCGCAGGAAGGGACCTTTCTATCCCTCTTGTTCACAGGTATAGGCAGCTGAGGGATTGAGAGGGGCTTGGTGGGCTCAGATGCCTCCCTGGGGACCCAGGAGTAGCCACCTCCCTCTGGTGTTCTTACCCAGCCCTCCATGTTCTCCTTTCTATCATGAATTCTCAGAAATAGCCGCCCTATTCACTGAAAGCCACCTCGACAGTGTCTTGTCAAGAGAGGATGTGGGACACTTTCCTTGGGCAGCTGCCATGGGCATAACCAGATGGTCAGCCCATTTTACAGACAAGGAAGAGAGAGCCTGGGTAAGGTTGCCAAGTAAAACTACAGGCTGCTCAGTTAAATCTGAGTTCTAGGTAAATAAGAAACTTATGATTTTTTGAGACATATTAAAACTTCCGGTTTAAGTCTGGTGGTGGTGACACATGCCTTTAATCCCAGCACATAGGAGGCAGAGGCAGGCAGATCTCTGTGAGTTTGAGACCAGCCTGGTCTACGAGAGCTAGCTCCAAGACAGCCTCCAAAGACACAGAGAAACCCTGTCTCAAAAAACCAAAACAAGAAAACCCCCAAAACCAAAAAAAAAAAAAAAAAAACAAACAAACTACTGGTTTATGTACAATTCAAATTTAACTAGATGCGTTGTATTTTTATCTTGATGAATTTGGCATCCCTGATCTTCAGGGAAATTGTCATGACCAAAGCCACAGGCTAGAGAGCTGCTTATTCATGACTAGGGCCAAGGGCCTCCTTTCTATCTGCCAGTGGTTCCCAGAGCCCTACAGTGGGGTTGCCATAGAGAAAGCTCTTGGGTGGGCTGGAAGCCCCCATTTTACCCCACAATCTAGTAACTGTTAATCTCACCCATATATCACTAGGTGGAAAGTTCTGGGCACTTCTGAGCAGTAACCTCTTCATGCTTGAGGACCATACATAGTTTCTCTCTCTATAGTTCTGGCATCCTAGAGTTCACTATATAAGCCAGGCTGGCCTCAAACTCACAAAAACCTTCCTGATTCTGCTATTCTAGTGCTGGAATTAATGACGTGTCCCACCATGTCTGGATCACCAGGTATTTTGTAAGGACCTGGCCACCCACCCCCTCAGGGAACTCACCTTGTTCACCCGTCCAGTATCCTTGTTCTTGGAGGCTGGGATTTGCTCATAGGTGTTCCCTGGCTCTGGGAGCTGAGAGGTCCCCAAGATCTTCTCATGGCCACAGTCCATGGGCCCTGAGAGTTGGCTGTATGTGAGACTGACTCCAGGGTATGGGAGCTTGGCAGTGCCATGCCAGCAGGGTGGAATCTGCTCGTAAGTACTGCCTTCTTGGTCTGGTCTGTCCCTACCCTCCTGAAGTAGGCCTGCTGTCCCAACAAGCTGGTAGGTATCTACAGAACTGGCTTCAGAGGAGGACTGAGCCTCGTGGCTCAACTTTAGAAACCCCTGCCTCCAACTAGTAGGCTGTGATCCCACGGCCTCAGAATTGGGGGGTAGGGAGAATCCCAAGGAAGCATAAGGCATGGTAGCATTCTGGTCTGTCTTCACCCCAGATGGAGCAGGCTCTGGACTATTAGGGTTGCTCTGGTCTTCATCTGAGAGTTTCTTTGAGGACTTCCTGCCTGGAGAACAAGCCAGGCAGCCAGCTGGAGGTAGCCTGTGCCTGCCACACATATCTGTGCCCAGGCCTTGCTGTGCCAAGTTCATCTTCTTCAAGTCTGCGTAAATGATGTCATTGGGGCCTGCAGAAGGCTCATCCAGAAAAGAGGGACTCCTCTGAGGAATAGGGGGCACTCGAATGTGTGCCTGGGAGAGAGGGACAGAGAATGTCTTTAAAAGCACCCCACTGTTACCATGACCTCATACCCCCGAGCTATCTTTATAAGCCTCCCTTCCCCTTTTTTGCTTCAGTTTGGCTAGCATATGCAAGGGTTGGTTCATGACCTTCATGTTTCCTGTCTCTATGATTCTAAGTACAGTCTTTTCCTTAGCATCCAAGGTAACCAGTTTGACAGCCAACCCAAACTCATCCTGCCTGGTCCTCCTGCCTCCAGCATGGTCCATTGGTCCCTCAGGTCCCCATGAGCTCACTCACTCATGGCTACATACCCTTACAGAGTAGCTTTATCCCAAGCCTATTGGTCATAGATCCTTTCAACAAGTATTTACTGAGTACCAACTACATGACAGGCCGTCTTAAGACCTGAGGACAGCTTGAGTTTACATTCTAATTTGGAAACCCACACCATGGGGGCTGTGCTAAAGAGTATACAAGGATTTGATGTAGCATATGATATATGAAAATGCTTCATAGGTAGTGTCATGTCAGCTCATGATCAGTGCCGTGGAGAGCAAGGCAGGTTACAGTAGAGAAAATAACAAGTGGGAATGGCGGCATGGGCTGTAGGTCAGGTGGCGTTTTTAAGGAGAGACGAAATGCAGTAAGAGACAAGTGACATCACTTTCTGGAAAGAAGAGACCCAGGCAGAGTATACAGCAAGTTCAAAGGCTGGTGGGCTTAAGGGAGATTTAGAAAGCCAATGCGGCCATGGTGAGGAAAGGAAGGAGGTTTGGATACTGGAGATGCTCTTGTAAACCCTGGGGATTTTAGGTTGTATTTTGAGTTTAAGAAGTCCTTTGGCAGCTGGGCATGGTGGCGCACGCCTTTAATCCCCAGCACTCAGGAGGCATAGGCAGGCAGATCTCTGTGAGTTTGAGGCCAGCCTGGTCTACAGAGTGGGTTCCAGGACAGCCAGGGCTGTTACACAGAGAAACCCTGTCTGGAAAAACAAAACTAAAGCAAAACCAAAACCAAACCCTTGGTATGCTGTGGTCTAGGTATCAAGGACATTCTCTGAGCCTATCCCATCAGACAGACATCCCGTTTTACAGTTTACTAAGTGGTTTTCGGGTATCTCATAACTGTTCTCATTGAGGCCTCCCAAAAACATCGGGAATGGTAAATAGACTCAGAGAGTTATGTGCCTCACATAAAGTCTCTCGGAGAGAAAGCAGAAAAGTCTAGTCTAGGTTTGAACTCTATCCAGATGACCAGGGCAGGCGATAGCATTGGTGAATCCCTGGGGACTGACACTAAGTTATGCTTCTTACACTGTGGGCCTGATGTTCACCCTCTATGCCTGAAGATACTGCTCTGGTGGTTTCTAAGGACCTGGCTGTGGCATGACCCCCACCCACATCCCAAGCTAGCAGCCATCAGCCAATGTGGCACAGAATCCTCCTCACCTCCACATTCTCCTCTTTCAAGAGAGTCCAGGAATTCACATCCAGGTCTTTCTTGGTGTGCAGGAAGGAGACCTGAGGCTTTGCAGGAAGGCGGGGGCTGGTGGTCTTGTCAGCAACCACAGTGGGAAATTCCATGGCAGCTGGATTTTCCATATTAGTCTGCTGGAAACCGGTGTTGACAGCATCATACAGGTCATTTTCCTCTAGCTGTAGGCAGTGAGGATACAATATAACATGCTATAGTCATACACTGGCAGCCTCAAACTGCCTGCCGGGACGGCAGGGGAACATCCCACTAGGTTTCTGACTGTGGGTAAGGTACGTTGTTGAATGAGGGCCATGACTCCTCTGAGTTCCCTTGATAAGATGTGCCTGTGTAATTGCCGCCCCAAGTCTGACACCCTGTCCCACCTCCCTCACTCTGGGAAGAAGGGTGCCTACCCGTGGGCAAGCAGCAGCAAGGGTCTCCCCAAAAGGCTCAAGCTGCACCTCCTGGTAATGGCGTAAGAGCTCATCCAGAGTGCTGTGGCTGAGGGTGTCTCCTGAGACAAGGTAGCGTCGATTTCGGAGCTGGTTGATAACAAAATGACGGCATCGATCACTACCCCTGCAACACAATTACAGGTGGGCTGGGTTGGACTGCTGGCTACAAGTGGGCCAGCTATGCCTCTGACGATTTCCATCATAGACTCATCTGACCAAGTGCTACCCTCCCCATGTGTTCCTAGGGGAATGGCGGCGGCAGGGGGCTCAAATGGCCTCACACATGCTGTGCAAGTGCTGTGACATTGAACCATGCCCCCAGCCCTATTTACTTAGCTATCTTTTTTTTTTTTTTTCTTCCGGAGACAGGGTTTCTCTGTGTAGCTTTGGAGCCTATCCTGGCACTTGCTCTGGAGACCAGGCTGGCCTTGAACTCACAGAGATCTGCCTGCCTCTGCCTCCCGAGTGCTAGGATTAAAGGTGTGTGCCACTAACGCCTGGCTTACTTAGCTATCTTAACTTTAAATCCTTTAATTGTTTACTCATTTATTCTTGAGAGAAGATCTCACTTTATAGTCCAGGCTAGCCTACGGCTATATGGTCCAGGTTGGCCTCAAACTCAGGTGGATCCTCCTGCCCCAGTCTCTCCAGTGCTAGGACAAGAGGTATGAGTTACCATGCTTGGCTAATACTGTATTTTAGAAGCTCAAAATGAATGAAAGACAGTAACAACCCATAAACATAAAAACACTGAGGAAGGAAGTACCCAAGCCTCCAGTAACCACACGATCCAACCCTTTACCATTCAGCTTCATCCAGACCCCATCCTCCAGAACAACTGAACCTCCCCTCCTACAAAGTCCCACCCTCTTGATTTTTCTTTTATTTAATGCAAGAATGATTTAAACACAGAACACACATCATGGGTGTGAAGCACACGTCATGCCCGTGTAACCATGTGAAGATCAGGATATAAAACCTTGCCTGGCCCCTCCCTGCCACAGGTGGCCTCTCTCTGACCCTATTGCGATACTTTGTTTTTTCCTTTATGGAATTTCAAATAAATGAAAATTATGCAAAAATCCTCATTTGTATCTCATTTCCTTCACTAGATGTATTTTGTTTCAAATTCACTAAGGTCCAAGTAGATTTAACTTCTTCCTTTCAAAAGTTATGTGTAGTGTCTCATCTGATAGAAAACCTATAGTCTGTTGGGTATTTGGGCTGTTTCCTTATTGAGGTTGTTATAAATATAGCTGTTACGCTTATCTTCTGTGAATGCATGTGCTGACATCTACTGAGAATATGCCAAAGAGCAGCAGGAGCAAGATAAATCAAAAGATATGTACACACACATACACATACATACATGCACACACATACATACATACACACATGAATACACACATATACACATACAAATATACACACATGCACACACATACATACATACATTCATGCACACATACACATACACACACATGCACACACATACATACATACATTCACGCACACATACACATACACACACATGCACACACATACATACATACATTCACGCACACATACACATACACACACATGCACACACATACATATATACATTCACGCACACATACACATACACACACATGCACACACATACATACATACATTCACGCACACATACACATACACACACATGCACACACATACATACACACACGAATACACACACATATACATATACATACACGCATGCACACACATATACATACATACACACACACATACATACACACACACATGCACACACATACATATACACACATACACAGAGAGCTTGTGTGGGGTTCTTCCTCTATTCTGGGAAGGCCGTTCTCTTCAATTTCAGGAAGGATGCACATGTTGTGGCGAGGGAGGAAGGAGACACTCCATCCAGCCATCCAGACCAGCTGAGTCCATCCTGGCCATCAATGGGGTGACAGATATCACAGCCAGATTGCCTTCACATCCAAATATACCAGTCTTTTATAGTGAGTGCTTTTTATGTCTAAGAAAATTTTGTTTATCCCATTCTAAGGCAGTTAGTTTGCTTATTGGACTGTTCTCTTGTTTCTTTTAAGAAAGATTATTGTTTTCTACCTTGGATCTATGATCCTTGTATTGTTATTAATTGTTGTACCTTGTACACCCCCTAATTTGCATATCATGTGCCTTGTGCCAATTATAGGAAAACTAGGAACGGTGTGAATCAGGATGCTGCTCATCTCTGGACTCTTCTGTCCCTTTGGACTATTTCTACCTCTCTGAGCACTTCCTCTCACTGCCTTTTATAAGGCGGCATTCTGCCTAAGGTCTCCTGAGAGAGAGAGAAGCTCAAAGAAATACAGAATAAAGGAAAATCAAAACTGAAAAGAGATTTGAAAAATGCTTACTTGTTATATTTCAAAGTGCCCAAAGTAGTGTCTGGGGGAAATGAGTTCTGATCAATGATTAATATTTGTTTAGACCTTCCATGGCTTGTGCACTCTGTGCCAGGCACTTTCAAAAGCGTCATCTTATTGAGCACTTCCAGTCGTCCTGTGATATGGTAGATAACTAGAATGTTCCTATTTTACATATGAGATGGCAGGGGCACGGAGAGGCAAAGAAACTTCCTCTGGGATAGGATCTGAACAAGGAGAGTCTGTGCACATAATTTGAATCAGAATCTGAAGACTTGGAAGTTTGCCCTGCAGCCCTGGCCTCCTTCCAGGTCTCCAGTGAGAGCCTTCTACCTTCCCAACTCAGCCCACTTTCAGACCGGGGTTTGCCGTCATCACCTCTGACTTCGTACTAGGCCCATGTCTCCTCCTCTTTTGTCTCATAGCCTTACATGACTAAGACCCAAGATCTTCATAGTCAATGATGGCATGGGTCCCCCACAGCCTTTACACCTCTAGACTATCTGCAGTTCTCCCTCCTTATGCTGTTAGGAGGACCCGGGTGAAGTGACAGTCTGCTTGGATCCCTTCTCTGTATCAGAATTCTCATACAAAGCTATCCTGTCCCCGGATACCCTGTATCCTGCTGCACCTAGAGACCTGGGGGCTCTCAAAACCTTACACTTCTGTTCATGCCAGTCCATCTGCTAGAAGATCTTGTTATACCCAACCATGCCTTCTTCCCACCAGCAAATAGCTATTCCTCCCTTACTGGGCTCAGAGTTCACCTGTGCCCAGCAGGAAGGTGTTTTATCTGCCTCCCCTCACCCCTTTGGAGGCTGCAGCACTGTCCTTGGCATATGGTCAGTGCTGCTGCTCCGAAAGGGTTGGCCAAGCATGGGACGGATGGATCATGGAGCTGGGGCCCAGGCAAAACCAGACAGGGCTTCTGGGCCTCCCTGTTTATAAGCAGGCTCTGGGTTATGGAGTTTTGAGGCTGCCTGGCCCTTCATAAAGGGCTTCCCACTTACCTGTAAGACAAGATGTAGCCGACGGCCCGATCACTGAGGCGGACAAGGAAGGAACCAAGAGCTTTGTCCCTGAGTAGCTGCTCTGTCTGCCTGAACAGAGGACATGCCATTAACTGGGGTTTGTACCCCTCATAACAACCAAGCAGTCTGAATTAGACCTGCCTCGGGATCCTTGCAAGCCTTGGCTTTGAGTCCTAGATTGAGGCAGTCTTTTAGCCCTTGATAGAGAACCTTCTTAGACCTCTGACTGGCTCTGAGGCCTCTTAAGGTGCAATCCATGCTTGGTCCTGGCTCACATGAGCAAACTAGAGACTCAGCCTGGAGTTGGATGTGAGTCCTGAGGCGCCTTCCCCTCCCCACTGAGGCCTTGCCAGCCGGTGCAGTGGACACTGCCTGCAGCTACTTGCTTTCCACCTGGATAACTACATAGTGAGAATGATGCCACAGGGCTGGAGACTTTTGCATTGGCAGGAATCCCTCTCTTGGGGCTAGGTGTACAGTTATGCAAGATGTGTACTGCTTAAGAGTTTCTGCAGCAAAGAGCTGCTGCTATGTCTCAAGCTTGGCTACAAGAGAAGTTTACAGGAACTCACCCCCGCCCCCCCCCCACTCCTTTCATGTCCTTTTACACAATGTCAAGTGTTTTGGAGGCACGGCAGAAAATTCTAGCTTCTTTTTTTTTTATTGGCTTGGCAGAACACAGGCCATATATTTCTTTATCCACTTACTCACCAAGTCAGAGCTACCTTCGTAATTTGTAGGGGTCAGTGCCAAATGATTATGTAGGATCCCTTATTTCCTAACAAAGAGTGTGGAGACAGTGACAGCAGAGTATTAAAGCAGGCACGCAGGTCCCCCCTGAACATGCAGCCTCATGTTATTCAGAAAACTGTCTCTGGTGCTGTGTGAGGCACTGGGCCAGGACCTGGTGGGCTTTGCCTCTCATTCCTTCCTCCATCTAGTATTGGGAAGCTTGGCAATCTAGAGCAATCAAAATGCCAAATCCCACATTCTGGCCCCTATGCCAGGATAAGCATGTGTCTAGGTTTCCTGGCCAGTTCTCTAGCTTAGTGACAATAGCTGGTGCATGACACAGTCTCAGAGCTCATCTAAACATGCCCAGCCCCGACAGGTCCACTTTCTGTCCTTCCCATAGCTGCAAAGACCCCAGGAGGGAAATGCCCTTCATTCCTGCCTTCAGAAGCTTCCTTAATCTGTCCCCTCCACCCCCAGGGTTCTGGCTAGTGAGAGAAAGGTCAGGAGCCCAGAGTTCCAGTATTCTTGGGCAATATTCTGTCCTGAGGAACTGTGGGCCATGCTGGCCATGTTGTCAGGGGCAGTCTTACTTGCGGGTGATGAATCCATGAAACCAGGGGGGCAGAGCTCCATTCTGCAGGATAGAGGGTGCCTGTGTCTCCATGAACCACTTCAGAGCCAACTCCTGGATTTCAGCCAAGGCCCGCCCATCCCCTGCCTCCCCTATTGCCTTAGCCAGATGCAGTTGCTCTGGACCACCCTCCATCCTGGTGAGCACTGACAGGAAATAAGTCCTGATGGTTGCAGTCCTTTATATCTGTATGTGATGTAGCTCATTTGCCTGAACCCACACCCTCCCCAATGCCTGCAGCATACAAGAGTCCTATTACCTCTGGACTGGCAGGTACTTCTTTGTGAAGCTTTGGGGCCAGGTGTTTTTGACTGGCTAGAGTCACTAGCAGGAGGCTACCACAGTCACCTGGTGAGGGACAGGCGGACTAGAGTCACTAACAGGGGCCTACCATAGCAGCCTGGGGAGGGACAGGCTGACTAGAGTCGCTAGCAGGAGGCTACCATAGCCGCCTGGTGAGGGACAGGCGGACTAGAGTCACTAACAGGGGCCTACCATAGCAGCCTGGGGAGGGACAGGCTGACTAGAGTCGCTAGCAGGAGGCTACCATAGCCGCCTGGTGAGGGACAGGCGGACTAGAGTCACTAACAGGGGCCTACCATAGCAGCCTGGGGAGGGACAGGCTGACTAGAGTCGCTAGCAGGAGGCTACCATAGCCGCCTGGTGAGGGACAGGCGGACTAGAGTCACTAACAGGGGCCTACCATAGCAGCCTGGGGAGGGACAGGCTGACTAGAGTCGCTAGCAGGAGGCTACCATAGCCGCCTGGTGAGGGACAGGCGGACTAGAGTCACTAACAGGGGCCTACCATAGCAGCCTGGGGAGGGACAGGCTGACTAGAGTCGCTAGCAGGAGGCTACCATAGCCGCCTGGTGAGGGACAGGCGGACTAGAGTCACTAACAGGGGCCTACCATAGCAGCCTGGGGAGGGACAGGCTGACTAGAGTCGCTAGCAGGAGGCTACCATAGCCGCCTGGTGAGGGACAGGCGGACTAGAGTCACTAACAGGGGCCTACCATAGCAGCCTGGGGAGGGACAGGCTGACTAGAGTCGCTAGCAGGAGGCTACCATAGCCGCCTGGTGAGGGACAGGCGGACTAGAGTCACTAACAGGGGCCTACCATAGCAGCCTGGGGAGGGACAGGCTGACTAGAGTCGCTAGCAGGAGGCTACCATAGCCGCCTGGTGAGGGACAGGCGGACTAGAGTCACTAACAGGGGCCTACCATAGCAGCCTGGGGAGGGACAGGCTGACTAGAGTCGCTAGCAGGAGGCTACCATAGCCGCCTGGTGAGGGACAGGCGGACTAGAGTCACTAACAGGGGCCTACCATAGCAGCCTGGGGAGGGACAGGCTGACTAGAGTCGCTAGCAGGAGGCTACCACAGTCACCTGGCGAGGGCCAGGCTGACTAGAGTCACTAACAGGAGGCTACCATAGCAGCCTGGTGAGGGGCAGATGAATTTTGGCCTGTTTTCTCCCAATCTCCAGTCTTTGCCTCAGCTGAGGAATAGACACTGGCTGCAATCGCAACACAGCCCCTATTAGCAAAGCCCTGGATTTAAATTCGATGTATCCTGCCCCCGCAGAGGCTTTTTGTGTCTTGATGGGGAAGTTCCATGCTGATTAATTTTTCTTTCCACTGCAGGTTGTATCAAGTACCTACTGTGTGCCATATAAATCTGGGAACAAGGCCACAGCAGCTGGGAAAACATTTTTGTTATTGTTGGTGTGTGTGTGTGTGTGTGTGTGAGAGAGAGAGAGAGAGAGAGAGAGCGAGAGAGAGAGAGAGAGAGAGAGCGAGAGAGAGAGAGAGAGAGAGAGCGAGAGAGAGAGAGAGAGAGAGAGCGAGAGAGAGAGAGAGAGAGAGAGCGAGAGAGAGAGAGAGAGAGAGAGCGAGAGAGAGAGAGAGAGAGAGAGCGAGAGAGAGAGAGAGAGAGAGAGCGAGAGAGAGAGAGAGAGAGAGAGCGAGAGAGAGAGAGAGAGAGAGAGCGAGAGAGAGAGAGAGAGAGAGAGCGAGAGAGAGAGAGAGAGAGAGAGCGAGAGAGAGAGAGAGAGAGAGAGCGAGAGAGAGAGAGAGAGAGAGAGCGAGAGAGAGAGAGAGAGAGAGAGCGAGAGAGAGAGAGAGAGAGAGAGCGAGAGAGAGAGAGAGAGAGAGAGCGAGAGAGAGAGAGAGAGAGAGAGAGAGAGAGAGAGAGAGAGCATGCAGGTATGCACCATGCATATGTGTGTGGAAGTTAGAGTTTGGTATTGGGTGCCCTCCCCTATCACTCTCTCCACCTGATTTTTGAGACAGGGTCTCTCACTGAACCTGGAGTTACTGTTTGAAGTAGACTATCCGGTTCTGGGATCTACCGTTTTCTGCCTCTCAGTGTGTTCAGCTTTTATGGGAGTGCTGGGGATCCAAATTCAGGTCTTCATGATTGTGAAGCAAGCACTTGACCTACTGAGTCATCTCCCCAGTCCAGGAGAAGCACTTATTACTAATGGAGGTAGACCGACAATACACATTTGCACATGTATGTGGAACATCATGCCGGATGTGCTTAGTCTGCAGGAGGCAGGGAGAGGAAGACAGAGCACGTGGGCTGCATGCCATGGGTTGGAGTCAGTCTTACCCGAGAGTGACAGTGGGTGCTTGAAGGAGGAAGCCAAGCACGTGGGGGAAGAGAGGCTGTTGCCAACCACGGGGAAAGTAAGGGCAAAGACAAGATGTTTGGGATCAGAACATTTTAGGGCAGCAGAACACTTTGTTCACACAAAGATTCCCAATCTCCAGTGTCAGCATTCCACAACAGTAACTGAGGCTGGAGGACCCTGAATCAGCAGAAGCAATCAGCACCCCCTCCAAAATGTGGATTGGATTCTCCTTCCCATCACAGTGGCATGGGAGATCAGAGGGTTGCTGAGCCATTGGTGATACCTGTTTGTTCATATACTAGACATAAAAGGTTATTGTTTAGACTCTGAGGCCATTAGGATGAGTAGGAGCAAAATGGTAAAGAGTGAAAGATCATTTACATAAATTCAAAACAAAACAGAACTAATCGATGATGCTAGAAATTAAGAGCAGAGGCTATAGTGGGGAAGGGAGGAGAGTTTAATGACTTCCAGGAAGGGACCAGGAGCCGTTCAGTGCTGGCATATTTCCACTTTCTGATTTGGGTGGCATGCTCACTATGAAACTTCATGGCACATAGTTTATGCTCTTTGCTAAGTACATGTTCTACCTCAATAGAAACCACTTACTGAAAAAAGAGAGGATGCCCCAGCCACATTTCCATGGTTCACATCGGCTTGATAGCTGTGTGACCCTTAATCAAATGTTATAACTTTTCTAACCTCTGGTGTCTTCATCTTTGAAATGACGATAATAACATGACATGTGTATTAGCTCATTTTGCATTGCTACAATGAAACACCCAAGGCTGGGTACTTTGTAAAGAAAAGAGATTTATTTAATGCATAGTTTTGGAGGCTAGAAGGCTAAGAATGGGCAGTCCCACCCATTGGATCTCTGGCAGAGGCCTCTGGCTATTTTACAGGGTAGTGGATGCTGTCATGGGGACATGATTGAGAAGGAACAATCACATGGCCAGAGAGGACAACATTAGCTCTTTTATAATAACTTACTTTGTTTAGAACTTTCTAGAATTCCATGAAAACTGAATTAATTAATCCCTTCCAAGGACAATGCTCCCCAATGAGCTGTCTTCTTCTGAGCCTCCTTCAGGGTTCCACCACCTCCCAACATGGACACTCTGAAGTTCAAGCTTCCAACACATAACCCCTAAGGGGACAAACCACATCCAAACTATAGCAGCAGCTTGTCATTTGGAAGGTCAACTGAGTTAACTCCTTTGAACAGGCTTTGGAGTAAAATAAGCAATTAGGATTAGCCATTTCTTGATAATGCTGGTGGTGATAGAAAGATCCACAAGTATGGAATAGTCTCCTCCTGTTGGGTAGACTATTATTTTTTTAAATAATTTGTTAATTTTTTGTGCATTGGTGTTTTGTCTGTATTATGTCTGTGTGAGGGTGTCAGATCTTGGAATTACAGTTGTGAGCTGCCATGTGGGTGCTGGGAATTGAACCCAGGTCTTCTGGAAGAGCAGTCAGTGCTGAGCCATCTCTCCAGCCCTAAACTATTATTATTACCACAAATTCATTATGAGTCATCTCAAGTCTAAAATAAAATGTGTTAAGGGAGCGGTGTGGCAGTGCACACCTGTAATCCCAGCACTAGGCAGGCAGAAGCAGGAGGATTGCAAATTTGAAGCCAGCCTAGGCTGCATAGCAAAGGTCAGTTTGAGACCAGCCTGAGTCTTATAGCAAGATCTTGCCTCAAAAACAAAACAAGAGACTGGAAAGATGGATCAGTGGTTAGAATCAGAACAGCCCTTTCTGAGGGACCTAAGTTTCGCATTCAGCACCCACATCAAACTGCTCACAACTGCCTGTAACTCCAACTTCAAGATTCAGAGCATTCTCCTCAGGCCTGTTTAGGTACCTATATTCATGTGCACATACCCACACACAGACATGTATTCATAATTAAATATGGAATTAAATATTTTTTAATACAGGATCTTTCTATGTAGCCCTGGCTAGCTTGGAACTCACTATATAGAGCAGGCTAGCCTCACACTCACAAAGATTGACTTGCCTCTGTTTTCTCAGTGCCAGGATTAATGGAGTATACCACTATGCCCGACTTTGAAATAAAATAGTTTGGAAAAATGTGTTTGGGCGTGTGGGGGACGCATCTGGTTTAGTGGGAAGGGAGGGGCATGAAGCAACCTGCAACCTGAAACAGGGGGCTCTTTCTTCCCCTCTCAGTCTCGCCTTTCTCTTTCCTACAAAGAGTAATAGCCCCTACCCCTCAAGGGCAGCTCTCAGCACGGGGACAGACACGTGCTTGTACAGCAAGGGTTCTTTTGGAGAGTCAGCTACCCAGAACACTGATTTTATAAATTATTAATTTCCAGCCTCAACAATGAGAGCGTCAAAAGAGGCCACCAGGAATGAGTCATCATTTCTGAGCATGTCCTTTGGTTTCACCATCACAGAAGAGCTAGGGAATCCTGGGGTCTGTAGTCCCCATGATTAGAATTCTCTAGAATGTAAAGTTGGGGA